ATGGAATCATTCAGGAGGAGAAATACCTTTAAGATCATTGTGTAAAATGACCACCATCGGCCCAGCACCAACTCCACGTTCACCCCCATCCCCTGTCCCCAAGTGCCACATTGTTTGAACAGTTCCAGGGACGGTGGCTGCCCCGGGGAGCCTGTGGCAGAACTTGACAACTCTCTCCATGAAGGAATTTTCCCAATATCCTAAACCTCCCCTGGCGCAGCCTGAAGCCATTTCCTCTTGTCCTGTGCCTTCCTGCGTGGGGGAAGCGACCGACGCCCCCCGGCTGTGCCCTCCTGGCTGTACAGAGTCACAAGGGCCCCCCGAGCCTCCTCTGCTCCAGGCTGAGCCCCTTCCCAGCCCCTCAGCTGCTCCTGGAGCTCCAGCTCCTTTCCCAGCTCGGGCCGGCCGCAGCGGCCCCGCGGGTCCCTGGGAGAAGGAAAATCCTCCTGGGCAAGATGGAGCAGCATCCCCGCAGCGACCCGGGCCCAGGAGCCGCGGGGCCGCCCCTCACCGTGGCCCGCGCCAGCACGAACACGGCCTCCTGGCTGGCCAGGGTCACGTCCGGGTCCGCCTTCACCAGCGCCTTCACCCGCGCCAGCGGCAGCCGGGCCAGGCGGGCCGGACCCGGGCCCTGCTGCCCCGCGGCCGCCGCCTCCTCCCCGGGCGCCGCCGCCTCCGCGGGCCCCGGCCCCGGGCCCGGCACGGCCGCCGCCGCTGCCATCCCGCCCGAGCGCTGCGCCTGCGCGGGGCCGCGGGGCCGGGCCGGGCTCGGCGGGGCCTCGCTGCATCCTCGGCCGGGCCCCGCGGCGCTGTCGGCCCCGAGCACGGCCCCTCCTCCTCCGCTTCGGGCCGGCGCCAAACAGTGGCTCATGTTCCACTTCATCCCGTCCCCAAACGGCCCCTCATCCTTCGCTTCACCATGTCCCGTAACACAGCCCGCACAGCCCCATCCCGATCCTACCCGCAGGCGGTCCTCGGTGCCTCCCTGGCACCCCCATCCCGGTGTTCCCCACAGACGGCCCTCGGTGCCTCCCTGGCACCTCGTGCCCCAGCACAGACAGGGACACAGTGCCCGCCCCGTTGCAGCGGCAGGAGCAGTGGGGCAGGTGGAGTGGCCCTCACTGCTGTCTGTCCGTGCTGTGCCCCAGGGTCAGCTCCCCGTGGGTCCCCTGTGGGACCTCCCAGCACCCCCTCTCCATCCCCTCTCCAGTTGGTGGGATCAAGTCCCCCAGTGCTCCCCAGGGCACCCACCACCCTCCACAGGACCCCCAGGACCACCTCCCTTGGCCAACAGGTGCCCGCCCCAGCCTTCCCCATGTCCTCAAACTGTGTTTTGTCCTTAAACCATCTGCAGGCAGGAGCCACCTCGGGCACTGCTGGTGGGACGCTGTCCCAAAAGGCTGCAGGGACACACAGATCCTGGAGCAGGGACACCAGCACCAACCTGCAGGCCAAAGCACCCCGGCTAGTGTGTCAGACTGTTCCTGCCTCAGAGGCAGTAAACACACACAGTGACACCAGGACAGTTGGACACTGTGCTGGCCCGACACAGCACCCTGTGTGCACAGCTTCCCCTTGTTTCCCAGAGGAATTAGGCTTTCTAGCCGAGCTCATGTCCGCAGTGAAGAGCCTGATTCCAGGGAGCCACAGGCCCTCACGCAGCTTTTCTGTGCTCCCACAGAGCTCACTGTGCACCCTCTGCACCTCCCCACCCTGCAAGTCCTGTGCAGCTTTGAGACCTGACCTGCAGAGGAATCCTGGGCCACCATGGACAAGGACATTGCCCACCCTCCTGCTCCCATCCCCTCGCATCCTGCAGTTCCCAAAACTGGGGCTCTCCTCTTATGGCCAGCAGGAGTTGGTGGGCTGCAAGTGTCAAACAGCAGCAGAGCCAAACCAGCAGTGTACCAAGAGCTGCTCCTCCTCCTCTTTCTCCTCCTCCTCGTGCGGTCTCACCAAGTCTCATCAGGCAAAAGCAACTTCCTGGCATTGCACACAGCTCCTCACCAGCTGTTAGGAAAGAGCTGCTGGTTTCAAGGCAGGGCACCTCAGAGAGCCTTGTCCAGAATGCTTCAGGTGGTCTTCAGCAAGGAGGTGAGCACGCAGGAAAGCATCCACTGATGGAAGATGGTGAGTAACAACCAGACCTGGGCTAGAGTGGACATGGGGATGGGACACTGGCCATGTGTCCTGGTTGGAAGGGTTTTGGGGATGTCCTTGTGAGGGGCTGGATCTGGCCAACAACCTCACTCCTCCTGAAAGGCAAAGTCCTTCTGTACATCTGAGCTGGATGGAGCTTCAAAGGTTTCTGACCAGTTTCTGGGCTCGGAGGAAGGTTTTCTGGGTGAACTTAGGCTGAATATAAACATCTGTGAAAGGAGGAGGCCACACTCCCACCGAGTCCAGGGGAGCCCCCACCAGCACAAAATGGATTGGAAAACCTGAAACTGATCACAGTGATGGCAGTGCTGTACATCCAAGGGCTCTGTGCAAGTCCCAGCTCATGGAACAGGCCCAAAAATGATCATTGCAAACCACCAAATCATTCAGGTGTCAAAAATCCCAACAGCATGTTTGGGAATCTGGAAAACATTGATTTTTCACTAATTTGAGTGAAAGCCCCAGTGCTGATATACAGGAAATGACAAATTCATGCTGCTTCAGCACTGCTATACTGAGTGCTGCATTTGAGGGTTTACCAGGAAAACTGGGGTGTTTACCTGGGGAACTTGCACTTTTGTAAGTCTGTATATATACATTTGATCTATTATGCCTAAAAATATTGCATCAGCTTCTCTCCATATCAGCCTTTCCCTTTCTTTTTATTTTTTCTCTGAAAAAAAATTATGCAATCACAAACCCAAACTGAAATCCCAGAAGGATAAAAACTCCAAAACCAAAGCATATAGCTCCAGCAAGGCAACCAGCTCCGGTGCAAAGGGACACTGTGGTCCAGGGACAGGGGCATGGGAGCAACATGGGGAGGGTAAAGTGGTCCCTCCCCTCTCACAAGGTCCATCTGAGAAGATTAGGAAGGATGTAGCCCCATCCCGTAGCTTTGTGCCGTGCCTCCAACCTGGCAGTCTTTTTGCAGGAGCCATTCACAGCCTCCTCCTGGCAGCGTTTCTCTGGAGGCTCTAGGGAAGGGTGAGTTTGGTCACTGAGGAAGCGAAGCTAAAGGCAGCTCTGTGCTGGAGCAGCTGTGTCCTGGCTGTGTGTGCTCAGTGTGAACCACACAGGAAAGACACATGTCAGGAAAGTAGGGCACTCTGCCGCCCCTTGGCCTTGCTGTGTCTGCCCGCAGCCTGTGCTGGGCGAGGCCCAGCAGGGCCGTCCCTGCTTTTCCTCCAGGAGGGATCCAATGGCCCTGTGCCGCCTCCCCCACCAACTCATCCCGGAAAACAGGACCAGGGCAAGGCAGGTTGCTCCCATCTGATCCCTGGGAATCTCTGGATCTCAGATTCTGCCCTCAGGAGCTTTGCTACTGCCACCCAGTCCTGTGGTGGTGTTATCATCGGGAGGGGAAGGGTTAACAGTCCCTTCTCGGTGGAGCCAGTATCGGATTGCAGGTGGGTTGTGCAGGGTCCCGCGGGGTCTAAGCCGAGGTTTGAGGGGTGTCTCCTATCTGTGACTCACCAGAGGACCGTCGGACACATTCCTGTGAGTGTGCAGCAAACCTTTTGTGTTCAGCCTCGGCTGCGAATCCCTGGGATCCATCCAGGCCCTTGTTCTTCAGCCAACATCGGAGGTCACCACGTGTAGTATTGTACGGTGCCCCTGTGGTGAGGAATGATTGGCACCTGACTCCAGTGATTCAGAATGCTTTATTAAGCAAAGAATAATTGCTTTATTAAGCAAAGAATAATTGCTTTATTAAAACTATATTATATTACATTATACTATACTATAATAAAGATAATATACTATAAAGAATACTAAAGAAAAACCCATGACTGTCTGTAGACAGTCAGGACACAGCTTTGAGTGATTGGCCAAGGAAACATAACAATCCTCAGCAGAATCAATTGACAAATCCCTTCATGTAAACAATCTTCCTAACACATTCCACATGTGTAAAAACAACAGGAGCAGCAAGTAGAGATAAGAATTGTTTTCTCTTCTTCTCTCAGTGCTTCTCCAGGAAAAAACCCTGTGAGAGAGAGTGATCTCTCTCTCTCTGTTCAGAGAATGTGAATGCCACACAGTCCCTCTGATTTGAAGGTCCTTGGTTGTGGACAGAGGGCAGATCAGACCAAAAGACTCCATGAAAGGTCTCCTGGATGCCCTTGTGGGGTAACCTGGTCCCAGTTTGATGCAGCCCCATGTTGTTTACTCAGATATATTCAGGACCTTTTTGAGCAAAGACCTTGTTTTTTGGAGAAGACTTAGTGTGAGACCATGTTGAAGGAGTACCACATTCCCCACGGGGAATTTTGACTCATTTTCCTCCATGGTGTTTCAACTGGAACTGTTTTTCTTAATGGTTGCAGATGCCTCTGGAGGGGAGAGACGCCGTGGTGAGGCACCTTCGGGCAAAGTTCCAACAGAACAGGAAAGAACCTCCCAAAGGGGGTGGCTGGCCAGAGGGTCACCCTGCAGCCTCTCATGGGCCAGAGCCAGGACAGACCCCTGCCATGGCCTCCAAGGGTGATCCTCCTCCTCAGGAGGCCCCCTGGAGCAGGAGGGACTGCAGCAGGGCGCCCCCAGCCCACAGTGCAGGTCAGAGTTTGGGACAGCACTCACCTCACTCTGCCTGCGAGACCCCGGCGCCAGCGGTGTGTGGGAAGAAGGGGATGGCTGCAGGTGCCAACTCCCACCCAGTGCCTGCAAAGCCAGGAGGAGATGTGTTGAACAAGAGGGTGGAAGCCAGCTCTGATCCTCCCCACAGGAAGGCAGCCCAGCAGACACGGCCGCCTGCCAAAGACAAGGGGGCTCCAGTGGTTCTTGCCAAGGGTGCAGCTGCTGCAGCGCCCCTGCTCGCTGTGGGCAGCCCCCAGAGGATGGAGCACCCAGCTCTGCCCCGAAGGAAGCCTCTGCCACATGTCAGGGCACTGGGAGTGAAGCCAGGCAAGCCCCAGCGCCCTCCTGATGTGGATTTGGCAAAGTTCAGAGCAGCTGCACATCCTAGGACGTCCATCTGTCCTGCCACAGAACCACCAAGGAGTGCTCAGCTGGGTATGGCCAGGCACAGAAAAGCCTCTCAGGAAAGGGCACTGCTCATTCAGGAAGGAAAATCTCCCCAGTTAGAGCCTGCAGCTCTTGGGAGATGGAAATACTGGGAGGGCTTATGGGGAGGTGGGGACTTGTAATACCAAAGGGGCTTTTATAAGCAATAGCGTGAGGATGAGAATGAGGGCAGGTGAAGAAACAAAGTGCCCTGTCCCTGGCTGGGCACAAGTTTCCATCTCTGGAATCTTTGTAGGAAGTAAGGTTGGAGTATGTAACTTAAGAGATATTGCCAAATTGGAGTGAGCCCAAGATGGCTGTGGACTGGAGCACATGGAGAAAGAAGGGCTGAGACTCAGGCTTGTTCAGCTGGGAGGAGAGGGAAGAAGGGGAGATGTCACTGCCCACAGCAACCTAATGGGGAGAAAATGGGGCCAGCCTCTTCCCAGAGGTGCCCGGGCAGGCCTGGGGTGATGGGCAGGAGCAGCAGGGGAGTGCCAGTCAGACACTGCCAGAGCCAGGCTGCTGTGGTGCTTTCTCACAGCTGCTCTTCTGCTCATCCACACTACAGTGATGAGAGCTGTTTCAAACGCCATTTCTTGCTTGGTTTCTCTAACCATGAGAGTAGACTTCCCTTCCTTTCCTTAAGACAACTGAAAAATTGAGCTGGTCTATGTTATAATTAAAAGGTGTTATCAGGGCTGGCCATGCTGTTGTGCTGGGAGATTCTCACATGACTGGCTACAGGTATTTATTTGTCTCATGGGTCCTGAGGCAAGCTGCAACATCTAGAATCACACGTTGCCTTGATTTGATAGTTTTTGTTAATTTTTAGGGCACTCTTATGATTTTTAGGGCCAAGTATTTGATTGTGTATTACTTGGTACTGTAAAGCAGCAGAGATTTGATGTTGTAATCAGGATTTTGTGCCCATTTTTGGTTGGTCTGGTTGACCAGGCTGGAGACAGGGCTTGTGATACAAATAAGGGCTTGTTAGCAGGGGTGTGGCCATGCTGGCAATCCTAAAAGGAGCAGCAGTATCTTCTGACTGATGATGCTCCTGAGCATATGGACATATCCAGGACTTGCCCTGACTCTGGTACCTATCTGAAATTTAGGGGTTTTCCACATTCATGATACCTGTTCTGGCCTCTTCCCCTCTCATTCCATCATTTGTCCAGAAAAAAGTAACATTAGAAATATGCAAACAGGAAAATACATAATCAGGGTCCTCAGTGAGGAACCTGATGAGCTGTGCACTGGTGTGCTGGAAGAAAATCCCTGGATGAGCTATGGAGTAAAAAACTCCTTGCTCTATCAAGATGTGTAGTCAGTTTTATCTCCCCACCTCCTCCTGCACTGAATCCAGCCCAGAGTGGCTCTCACCTCAAGGTGGCTGATAGAGCTGAGGAGAAAATATGAAATAATCCCTCCCTGCTCCCTCCTGCTCTGTTGTTTGTCACAGGTCACCTGCAACCAGGCTGTGCTGCACCAGTGCCTGCACGGGTCCCACTGCAGGATGCTCCGAGTGCCACGGGGTAAGGACTGAGGCAGCCCTGCTGCTCCAGGCTGTGCCAAGCCCCTGGGAAGGGCACAAGATGTGACAGCAAGAGGATGTTTGGGTTTTCCTGCCTGCTGCTAGAGCCCAGAGTGTGGAAGCAGCTCCCACAGTGTGAAGTATGGCCATGCCTTGGGGCTATGTTACCTCACTGTGGCCATTGCACGCTGCTGCCTGTCCACATCCAGCTATGTGAGGAGCTGCTGGCACAGGGCATGGGGCTGCTGTCCAGCTCTGGCCCAGAGCCAGGGCCAGTCCATGGCCAGCCCAATCCTCCTCCTGATTCTGCCCTCAGCCCCCACTGCAGCAGCACCTCCCGACCGTGCTCTGCCTCCCCGCAGGGATGAAGATGAGATATACGATGATGTTGAGTCTGTTGAGCTGGCCAGGAGAAGCCCAGGCCTCCTGCTGCCTTCTGTGTCCCAGCTGTCTGTGTGTCCCTGCCCCAGAGGAGGTGAGTACAGCTTGGATGCTGTTTGGGGTGAGACCTGCAGCTGCAAGAGCTGTGAGGCCCCAGTGAGCCATGGGCAGCAGCAGGGTCTGTGCTGAACCTGCTGCTCCCCACAGCAGGGCAGTGGGCTCCTCTTGTAAATGGGCACAGGAAGCCCTGATCCCCCCACACCTGGGGGCAAACTCAGGATTTGGTCCCAGGAGGAGAGAGCTCTTGCTGCTCTTTGTGTCCTGCTTTGGGAAGTGTTTCCACCTCACTCTCCCCGGGTTTGGTTTTACAGGTGGAAATGCTGGCCGAGCCTCTAACAGGGTTACCTTGCTGGCAGCTACGCAGAGGTAAAGGGGCTTTTTTACTCTTTCTAAGGCTCCCAAAATGGCCAGGGCTCCTTGCTGCTCTGACAAAGCTGCTGCTTCAGTGTTCTCTGCTGGGCTTGCAATAGGAAAGTCTGTGGTGAAGAGCACAAGCTGCAGGCTGCACACCTTGGCCTGAGAGCCTCCACAGCCCCAGGGCTGGTGCAGGGAAATGCAGTGGGGGGCAGCCAGCAGGGAGAAGGGGATGGGAGGGGAGCAGAGCATGGGATGGGGTCATCTGAACCTTTCCTTGGCTTTCAATGACTGCAGAGAATCCCAGGTCTCCCAAAAGATGAAGACCATGACACTCAAGGCATGCAAGAAGGAAGAGAAGATGGACAGGGAGTTTCAGAAGAAATTCAAGGTGAGCAGCAGTGAGTGATCACTTTTCCCTTTGAGCTTCTTCTCCCCTTCTGGGAAGGGTGCAGTGCAATGGCAGAAAGGAGCTGTGCTCCTCACTGGTCCTCAGGGACCAGTGATACCTGGATCACACCCTGCCTTGTTCCCCCAGGTCACACCTGCCCCGTTCCCCCAGATCAGAGCAGTCCCACAGACCATTTGGCCAGAGAGGAATCTGTTCTTTTTCAAGGAGGGAGAGCGGTCAGACCTGCCTGACTCAGCTCCCCATGGGCTCTGCTGTTTGTGTTTCAGTTCGAAGGCAGCATCAAAGTCCTGACTCAGATGATGGTCGACCCTGCAGCGACAGAGAAGAGGGGCGGAGCGAAGAACCTGCCACTGAGACCGGGAGAAATCCTTGATGTCATTCAGTTCACAAATCAGGAGCAAATCCTCTGCCGGAACAGCCAGAGGAGGTGTAAGTCTGCAGGGGGATGGGGCTGGCCCACAGCAGGGAGCACAGCACAGTTTTGGGAAGAAGCTTCTTCGTGCAAACATCCCCTGACAGACCTGCTGACAGATCTCCTCCACCTGTTAGACAGATCTGACAGGTACCCTGCTATCCTGAGAAGGTTCCCACTTTTCTCTGCACAAATATCCTGCTCTTCCTTCCACTCAGCAGCAGCATTTTTGCTGTGAGCTGGGCTTGTCCTTTCCCTCTGCTAGAGGCCTTTGCAGTCCTCGAAGCCTCCAGGTGGAATGGGCTGGAGATTGCTCAGGCAGAGGGGAAGGGTTCAGGCTGCCATTCAGCCTGGCAGCTCCTTCCTGACTCTGCCCAGAGCAGGTTCCTGCTGAGGGTCCAGCTGGGCTGCCCAGAGCTGGATTCCTTCTTGTCCCAGCTCTTTCTGGGAATGTGAGGTGTTGCTAAACCCCGGGCAGGTGCTGGGGTGATTCCTGCTCATGCCCTGGTTCCCAGCACAACCTGACATGTTTTTCTTCACTCTGTTGCAGATGGCTACGTGCCCCGGGCCGTGATGCTGCCTCTGTGAGTACCCTTTCCCAGCCCCTTCATCTCCACTCCATCAGCTACATCAGCTGCTCCATGAGTGGCCAGTACCAAACTAGTCCTGGCTGACAACTCAAAACTACCCAGCTCAGGCTGGGACCATAAGCCTAACACCAGCAGGTGCCCCTGGGCTGGAATCTGCCATTTCTGGTGTCAGGAGACATTCTGTCACTGGAACACTGGAGGCACTCCCCAGGCTGTGGTCCCTCGTGTGGGACCTGCCCAGACACTGCTCAGGGGCTGCTGCTGGGGCAGGATGAGGGTGCAGCCCCTCTGCAGAGCTGGGTCTGCAGCTCCTGGCAGCCTGGGATGAAGCCACCATCCTGAGAGGGGCCAGAGTCACCTTAACCCCACTCCAGATGGTCCCAGCCATGCAGGGAGAGCACAGCATGGGAGGGGGAAACGGGGCTGCAGGGGGACACCAGAGTCCACAGACAGGTCAGGAGGAGCTGAGACAGACCAGGCAGCAGGAGCTGACCCTTGCCTCAGGGTTGGGAGATGGTGGAACATGGGACACCACACTGCCCACAGCACCCTGTCTTTGTGCTTGCAGGGACACTGACATCTATGATGACGTTGAGATTTATGGTAGGTGCACCGAACTGCTGCCATACCCCTTCACTGGCCACAGTTAGCACCACACCAAGCACCAGGATTCCCCTCCTCCTGACCTTTGCTGTTTTGCTGCCTTCCCTCTCTCTCTTCCCTCTGTGTAATTCCTCTTCCTCTCCCTGAGGTATCCTTTACTTACTCACAGTTCCCTAAAAGTCTTCATGTTTCTCTGTTCCCAATTATTTGGACTCCTCTGCACCCTGTTCTCAGCTTGCTCCCTCCACTTGCTGCGAGCCCCAGGGCCCCTTCAGTGTCCTTTGAGGTGTCCCTGATGCCCCAGAGAACTCAGACTTCCCTTTCCTGAGCAGTTACTCTCTCCTGACATGCAAACTCCATCCCTGGCTGGCAGTTAGCTCTGAAGATGGAGCTGAATAGAGACAACTGGATTTCAGCTGTGCTCACAAGAACACACTTTCCCTAATTCTGGCAGGCTGAGCCAACCACGCTGAGGCCAAAGGCACAGGACAGCACCACAGAGACCCCAAGGGCTGAAACACGAAGAGCACCAGACACCAGGCTCCTTTTGGGAAGGAGTTCTGCTTCCTCTGAGACTGCAAAACCACCGTGTCCCTGCCAGAACAGAACAGTAGCATGGCTGCTCAGCCCCTGGGGATGCACAGATCCTGTCCCATGGGGCAGGGGGCCCCAGATCCTCAAGTCACACCATCACTGTAGCTCTGTTTGGTCTGTGTAAAATATAGCCATGGTTCAACAGGGTTTTATGGATGGTTGTGGGTTTTATGGCCCTTTTTTTTGGGGGGGGGGATGAGGTGAGGAGAGAGAGGTAAAATCAGGCCCATAAAGGTTTTAATATTATCCCATTCCCAGAGCATCTTCAGCCTGGGACCCACCTGCCCTTTCATTCTGCATCACACTCTGGCCCCAGTGGCACTCATGGCCTGAACCAGAGGCAAACTGAACACAGAAATACTCTAAAATATCATGAATTATGGACCAGGTGCTCCAGCAGCATCTCATGGCCATGGGGCAGCTTCCCTGGGGAGCTGGCAGGAGGTTGGATCCGTGGGGGCAGGTATTTGTGTGGGAATGTTCAGCATCACCTGTTGGTGCCTTGGGCTGTGCCTGCAGATGCTGTGTGAGGTTCCCTCATTCACTGAAAGTTTCCCTTTGCTCACCCTGCCCTCATGAAGCCCTCACAGATAGGGGCACGACTGGGGTGCACTCACAGCCAGTGGGGAGCACAAATCTAGTGCAGGACCCAGATCTGTGGCAGGATCCACTTTTGGTGGATCAGGAACAGCGAGAAGTTCTGGGGCCGAGTCCCTGCTCTCAGTCTGCACACTGGCCCCCATCCCCGGGGCTGGAGGGTTAAACTGGGAGGGTTCAGCACCTCACGGCGGGATGCCAAGCCCAGATTAACCCGTTGAAGACGTCACTTTCCATTATGGGAAAGGCTCCCAAATATCCCTGAAGCTTTTGGTTGTGGGGATTAAGCAGCAGCACACTCAGCTCTGGGCACAGAGCTGGCTCCGTTGGCGCTGCGGGGCCGTGGCCATGAGCGGGGCTGGGAGCTGCTCCCAGGGGCAGCACCTGGGCAGCTGAGGGGACCATGTGGGAGTGGGTCAGGAGAGCTGTGCTGCACTCGCTGGCCACGGCCCTCCTGCGCCTCTGGAAGTGGCTGCGGGCGTTCTGGTACAAAAATGGCCTCCTGACTCTCTCCATGCTCTCGGTGGTCACCGGATGCCTCCTGGGTTTCCTGCTGCGGGCGCTGGAGCTGACAGACCTGGTGAGCCTGGCTGGAATGGTGATGGGAGTGAGGGGATGGAGTGGGGCAGGGGCAAGTCCAGGTGCCAGTGAGGGTCCCAGATGGGCACAGCCCCAAAAGCAAGGGCACCTGCCCAAGAAAACCACCTCGAGGCAGGTTTCTGCCCAGGGCTTTTTTCTCTTTTTTCTTTCCTTTTTTTCCAAGAAGGTGCCAACAAATGCCCAAGCTATGGGACAAATCCTGCCTCCCTCCAATGAGAGTGGGGAGCTCTGGGCTGGACCTCATGGGGCTGCAGGAGCTTGAGGTGGGATGAGGATGGGAAAGCGGGGAATGTTTACTCAGGGGCTAAATGCTCAGTAAACATCTCCACAGCAGCTCCAACACCATCAGCAGCACTGGGATCTGAGGAATGGGGTCCAGGGGATGGGGTTTGAGGGATGGGGCCCAGGGGATGGGGTTTGAGGGATGGGGTCCAGGGGATGGGGTCCTCCCATTACTCTCCCCAGCCGTGTGCAATCAAAGCACATTTCCATGCTCTGGAGAGGACCCAGCAAATAAATAGAGGGCTGGTGGGGAGCCTGGAGAGCTTTGAGGAGTCACCTTCCTTTGAGGAGCCTTGGAGACAAATGCATTGGAGAAAACACACAAGAGAGAAAGGCACAATTGGCTCAGCCCCTTCCAGGAGCATTGCACTGTGAAAGGCTCCGAGCTGAGAGCTCTGCCCTGGGGCAGCTGGGCCACGGCTCAGCCCTGATCCCGGGCCAGGCTGCTGAGCCCAGAGCAGGAATGCCGCTCGGGAGAGCTCAGCTGATGGTGGAACATCCCTGTGTTGCCCGCTAGGATTTAGCAAAGTCTTGTCATTTAAATTAGGCCCTTCAGCATCAGCGCAGCAGGGATGATCTCGTTACTTAATTGAAGCTGGGTGTAATCTCCCTGCTTCCCAGTGCACACACCCGTGCTGGGCTTGAGGCTGGCAGAGTCTTCGGGCTCCAGCCCCTCGTCCTGCCATGCATCAAGTTTATCCTTCCTCTGCTCCAGCCCATCCTGCCCTGTTGCCACAGCTGTGCTGTGGGCCTGGCAGCCACTAGAGACTGTCCCCAGTAAGGACTTTTGTTACAAAATCTGGAGGAGAGCTGGAGAGGTGGCCAGTCCCTGCTTTCCTCCCTGCAATGGGAAAGTGTCACAAAGCTGAGAGACCCCTGGCAAAGAGATCCTGTTCATTTCTGGCATTACCCCTTGCACTCAGCTGGGCCCATGGCAGCTCTGCTCTGCCTGAGCTCCCTGGGGACATCAGCCACCTCCAGGTCACACACTGGGACAGTGCAGGGGCAGCACAGGGGAACAATTGAGCAGCTGCCTTGGCACCCCTCAAAGCCTCAGCCTGAGGTGGTGGCTACTTTGTAGAAACCAAAAGCACCTTCTTGTCTTGGGGCCAACTCAGATCCCTCCCTGACACCTCTACAGTGGCACAGCAAAATAGGGGGATCAGGGATGGATGGATGCATGGATGGGGGGATGGATGGATGGATGGATGGATGGATGGATGGATGGATGGATGGGGGATGGAAGGATGGATGGATGATGGATGGATGGATGGATGGATGGATGGGGGATGGATGGAAGGATGGATGGATGGATGGATGGATGGGGGGATGGATGAATGTGGGGATGGATGAATGCATGGATGGAGGGATGGGTGGGGGGCAGAGATAGGGATAGAGGGAAGGAGGGATGCTGGCCAGGCTGCTGGTCCCACAGACCCCTCACTCTCCCCTTGGTCATGGCTGTGGGATTCAGACTTTGGGGGATGTCTCTGCAGCCCTTCCCCATGTCCATGTGAGGGGTGTAGGGGGTGGAGAGATGCCATGGCACCAAAATTGTGCCATGGATGGGCCAGACACCTGGGCTCTCCCTGTGCTCATCTTTTCCACCTGCAGCCATGAGATAAATCCCACCTTTTGTTGCTGCCAACAGCTTTGGGGCACTTTTGCCCCAAATCAGATGCAGCCAAGCCTCTGCTCCCTGGTAATGAGATCAATGACTTTTGGGAGGAGCCAGTGGTGGGAGCATGTGGACCATTTCCTAGAAGGCGACAGAATCAAGAATGGTTTTGGGAGGGGACCAACCCCCCCATGCTCCTCCCTTGTAGCCAGGTTTGCCATGTGGCCAATATTGCCCATCCCTGAGCCAGCTCCCAGTAAGGGACAGCAGAGAAATGCCCTCAACGAGGGGCTGCCAGTTCAGAACCCAGCTCAGAGCTGGGTCTGGTTGGGAAAAAAAGGCAAATTGATCGAGTTTGAGCCTGAAATCACTTACCTGACACATGCTCTGCTCTATGTGCAGGAGAAGCAGTATTTTTCCTTTCCTGGAGAGCTCCTCATGAGGATGCTGAAGATGCTGATCCTGCCCTTGATCACCTCCAGGTAAGACATTGTCTTCTGCTCTAAAGCACCATCTTTCCATCACGCTGAAAAGATCACCCTGCAACACCCCGGTGAGGAGATTACCCGAAAACTGCATGGGGTGAGAATAATCCTGGCTCCAGGCAGCTGGCAGCCAAGCAGATGGCTTGGTGTCCATCAAACCCCACGATTCCCCAGCAGCAGTCTGGGACAAATCCTCACCTGGATTTGGTAGGCACTTGCACCCACCTCAGATACCTGCACTGGCTGGGGTGTTTCCCTTCTTGTGGGCAGCTGGTGATGCCAGGACCATCTGTGGGCAGTTGTGACGAGCTGCTTAACCTCAAAGCAGATTCTCTTAGAGGGATTTGAGAAAGGTAAAAAATCATAGGTATTCCTCAGTGCTGTGTATGTGTTTGCAAATTCCCATTTTATTGGTCCATACAGACCTAGAAATAAGGAACAGAGCTAGCAGTCCTACTGGGGTCTAAGCAAGGTCTTGAAAACCTTGTATGGATTGAGATATTGCAAACAAATGTTGGCATGTGCTCATCAACACACACAAATGATCAAATCTTTGTTCCCTCGAGGATGTGTCTTTTCTCTGTTGTTGGTCAGAGTTTGCTTGTTGTCCCATTTGTCTCTGGTTCATTTCTGAGGACAGAGTGGTCTCTATCCTGCCCACACTTGACCTGTTCAGTGAGGTCTGTACCTCACATCCCTCCCTGAGGTGCCTGGGGGTTCCCTTTGCTCTCAGCCCTCCCTGCAGCAGTTGCTGGGTGCTCTCCTCTGATCACTCTGCTGTCTGTGGGTGCAGGCTCTGCAGAGCCTCCTGCGAGTTTTCTTTCATGTTGGATTGAACCAGGGACTTTTCTATAATTACTGAATGATGGTGAAGTCGCAATTCAGCTCCTGATGGGTTCAGATTTGCCCCAGCAGGCTGCACAAGGTCTGGATAGCTCAGTCCTTTAGGGACAGACTGCCCAGGTTCCCAAGCAGCTCTCAGCCACTGGCAACCACAGCAAGCTTAAGGGATATCAGCTCTTTAGTGATTATCAGCTCTTTAGTGATTATCAGCTCTTTGTGATTCCAGCTCTTTGCTTGCTCAGTGCTGCAGGCAGGCAGACTCAGGGTGAGAGAGGAGAAGGCTGTTCTGATGTTCCACAGTGATGTCTGTGACAGTGGTCACAAGGGTTTTCAGGTGAAGGGAGAGACGAGAATGTTGACTTCATGTTCAGAAGGCTTGATTTATTATTTTATGATATATATTACATTATGACTATACAAAAAAGAAATAGAAGGAAAGTTCTCAGAAGGCTAGCTAAGTTAAGAATAGAAAAGAATGAATAACAAAGATCTGTGTCCTGGCAGGAAGTGAGAACAGCTCTGCCGTGAGTGGTCAGTAAATCCAAACATCCACAGGAGACCAATCACGGATCCACCTGTTGTATTCCACAGCAGCAGATAACCATTGCTTACACTTTGTTGCTGAGGCCACAGCTTCTCAGAAGGGAGAAAAATCTCAAGAAAAGATTTTTCACAAAAGATGTCTGTGACAATGTCTTTACTGGATGATCTGTGCAGGGTTC